CACGCTGGACTTCAGTGGCTCGCTCGCTCTTTTCTGGAACGGTGCTGTAGGCTGGCTTGGAATACGGATTAAACGGCGTAAGGCACTCCCACTACGATGCAAGGTACGCCTGTCCGCGTAACAAATCCTACGCTACCGTGCCCTCTTAGCCACACACCGCCACCAGTGTCGAGGCGCGACGGATGCGGCTGGGTGCCAAGAATAATGCCCGGAGCAGCGTTCCGGACCGTTTCCGGCCGAAACGAAGCCCTGCGTACGGCCCAGATCGACATCACCACGAAGCGCAATGTTTGTGCAACACATGGGGTGAAACGGAGCCCTCGCCAACGCGCGCCTCGCGCCCCGCTCCGTGCCCGCTCCAGACAAGAGTTCGCGAGGGTGCCCACGGGCATCGACTCGTATCCGCTCCACCTTCGATGGTGCTGTTTGTTGCTGTATACTTGTGCCCAGAATTTCGTAAAATAGTCACGACACCTACATCTACTGTACGCCTCACCCCTCCCAGCTGCCCTGCCCCCGGTTCACGCCGGCGCTCGGAGCACGTGGCACCGCCTCATCTAAAATCGTCGAAAGCACGCACGCACGCGGTGCACCCACGCACGCACGCACGCGGTCCACGCCGCGACGTTTCACTCGCCCTACCCGGAGCCTCGGCGCTCCCTCCGCGTGTGCGATGGTGCGCCCGACGTTTTGTTCCGTGCGAAGCGGCAAAAGTGGGGCACGGCCCCTCGGAACGCCGTCTCCCCACGCACCGCTCGTTGCCCGTGACCTCAATTACGCGCATTCCCCCGGGGGTTGCCGCGCCGCGTTTGGGCCGCGTCGGCCGTCTCGGGCGAACTCGCGACCCCGTGGCGACAACGGGCAACCGCGGCGTGAGTGCCGTTTACCGGCTGCGAGTTTCGGCGACTGCGACGACGCCAAGGTTGACGTTATCAGCGCATTGAATGATCGTCAATTGGTGAAGCGCGGCGAATTTGCTGAACTGCAGGAGCGAAATAAAGAATCGGATATCCCGGCGCTCATTTCGGTAGCGCTTCGCCCGTCTGGAGGGAGAGAACGTGACTCTCATCACTCACGCGGTGCATCATGTGTGCGAGCGTGTGTGCGAGTACACGTCGCTGTGTGCGTGTGTGTGCACGTGCAAAGTGGACCCCCCTAATGGAACATCTTCGCCGGTTAGAAACATTTAGGCTGGCCTGCCTACGATCCATCCTGGGTTTAACCAGGCTGGATTGTGTGAGGAGCTTACAAATCCTTGAAAGAGCTGGACAAAGTCCCATCGGTGAGCTCCTCCGGCAGGCAAGGCTGCGTTCGCTGGTTCATGTAGCCCGCATGCCCAATCACTGCATGCCCAAACAACTTTTGTTCGGCCGGATCGAGGGAGCTAAACTGGCGCGGCATGGGCTAGAGAAGAGATGGAGTGATGTGGTACAGGAGGATGTGGAGCTGAGTGGACTTGCCGATGACTGGTACCAGCGGTGTCAATATCGGCCTCTGTGGAGGAGGCTCGTGAAGGACGCTACTGGGCAGTTGGAGGCAGTCGCCCTCCAACAACAACAGAGAGGGGAGGAGCGACGCTCACAACAATGAGCTGAGTGCCGGGTGGCTAAAGCACAGCAAGTTGGCATAGTAGGGGGCACAGGTGGTGCATCAGCCAGTCATCTCGGTCATCTTAGTCAGTCGACCCGTGGCACTTGGGTCTGCCCCGTGACCTCCTGCCAGCGGACGTTCGACACTTCACGTGTCCTCAACGTGCACATAGCCTGGCACAAGCGTCGTGGTGACGTCACCGCCACTTAGTGGCAAATGGCGGTTGTTGTTGCGTGTAAAGTGCAGGCCAAATGGAAAATACGTGTTGCAGCCTCGGCACAATGGCTCCGTTGCAAAAAACAAGCTCATTCCACTGAATGATTATCAATAATTCATACCTGAATATTGGGCTGCAAAGTGAGCCTGATAGGGCGCCGATGGGAATGCGGTGAAGTACCGCATTCCTTACACACTTCGGATTTCCTCTGCTGCTATCAACAATGTGTCGAACTCACTCCCAGGCTCTTGCTGTCTGTGCTGTTGAGTCTCTCAGCCCATCATCTCTGTGGGTCAATAAAATGCACACCACTTGGTGAAGAAAGTCACCTGTGGTTGCCGTATGAATAGACTTATCACCATCATATAAGTATGGAATTTCCACCAATTGCTCAGGGTCAGTGGTGGTATGTTGAACTTCTTTCCCACCGTACGTAGCCAACCTTGCTTATCGAGGGGGGGGGGGGGCGGTGGAAGGACAACAAACTAAAGACAAAAAGCGGTTCTGAAGAAACGAGTTTTCAGTCGAGATGATTTAAAAGTCCATCGCTCCAGCGGCTTCCCGATATCGGAAGGGAGAGCATTCCAGACGGCCTCTGCCTAGGACTGGCTGGCTCCGGTGCCCTCTTTGCCACCCTCCAGCCCACGTCGCCGCGCACGGTGGTGGAGCCGTTCTGCTGTCGCCACGCGGATAGACGCGGATTTGCCAAAGCAACGCCCCCCCCTCTCGCTCGCCCCCCCACACCGGCCCTCTCGGCTCGACAAGCGAACACATTCCTACCGCGTACGCGCGCCGGCGACTGATGAGCGATCTGCGATGAACTAGCGACGGTGGTCTCGAGGCAGACAGCGGGGAGACGGGGGGAGGCGTGAGGGTGGGTGAGGTGGGGGGGTGGGCTCTAAGCAGACCCCTTTTTTTGCAAGACCCCACCCCTCTTTAAATGTATAATCCGAGTGAGGTTATGGAAGATTTCGGCGTATTGAGATAAGAAAAATGTAGACAAAAACAGAGATGCAGATTGAGATGAGAGAAGGGAGATGCAGACAAGATAGTGACGAGAATGTAATCGGATTTTCGTGTCAGGTAGCTCGTTGTGTCTGTTAGGATGTGAATTGAGCTGATGCTTGACGCACCCTTCCTTTTGTGATGAATCCTGGGCCCCGTTTGCCGATTGGGGCACTCCGCTTGGGCACTGTGTGTGGGTTCGGTGTCAGCTGTGGCGCGTGCTGACTGCGCTGGTTTCCGTTTTGGTTTTTGTAGCGGCTGAGATGGCGCGACAGCTTTGGTGGGAGGCCTTCGACCAGCAGTGGATTGAACCGTGGCTGATGGTGATGAGACGGACAGCTCGCAGAGCAAGCTAGCGTCAGTCTCGCCCGACTGCCCGGCCTGCATCTCGTGACTTATATATATGTATATTCTTACCGACATTTTATCGCTGGATGCATAGTGGAGGAAGGACAGTGTGCCTCAAAGGGCCTGAGGCTAAAGCGCAGCCTTTTGATTACGGCTATCTGGGCGACTCCCACGGACGTGCCTGACCGCCGCTCTCTGCGGCCACTGGCACAGCCGCCGATGACTTGCGCAGTGAGTCACAGGGTTTGCAACATTTTTTTAGTTTTCTTGTTTGTTTCACACTGACGACGTAAAAATAGCACGACTGAAAATCTAATAATTGAAGAGCTTGTTGGCGGTTCTCATCGCGATCATTCCGCTCGTGCGGCATCGGCAGATCATAAACCGCAGCAGTTGAATCTCACGCCCGGCTCGACCTGTTGGTGGCAAACTTCAAGTAGCGGTGTGGTGGTGTGCACACGCACGCCCTGCGTCCGCTCCATCCGTGTCGAGGACGCGGTCTACCAGACGCGCGGCCTGTTTCGTCTCTGCCACAGCGTGTTTAACCACCACACGCCCGCAGGTCACAACATACAAACACACATTGTACATACAACGCTTTACACTCTCTGCTTCTTCCCTCCCACCCATTGTCTCTTTTCCAAAGCTCTTATGATCATTACAATTCTTATTACCTATTACAAACTTTGATAGTGCCGGTCATTACTGACCACTTGACGTTTTGGGCTTCTGGGCCCTGTGCCCAGCAACTGTGTAAACATATCAAGTCCTGGTCGACCCAGGAACCTGGTTTTGCCAGCGAGCAATTTTATTATTGAAGCCCGAGGGATGAACGAGCTCCGGTCGCGTTATCCCATCTGCGCTGCTGTTGAGCGGGGCGGGCGGCGGTGACGTCGGGGAGAGCCTTGACCTTGCCTCGTCCGATGCGGTTATATTTAACAACGGCGGCGGTGGTGGTGGCGGCGGAGCGCACCGCTTGCCGTAAGGACACCACAACCGGAGCCCCTCTGGGCTTTGTGAGAATCACTTTAGAGGAGGCGGCTCCACGCTAAGGAGAGCGGAGCGCCGGGAGAGACGCGCTCAGACCGGTGTGGCGCGCGGGACGAGTCCTGCGCGAGTCCTCCAGGAGTCCTCCGAGAGTCCTCCAAAAGTCATTCGCCAATCCTGGCGCGGCAGTGGCAATCCGTGACGCTGCTGTAGGAGGACGCTGCGTGAGGAGCGTTTACCGCCTACGTGCGTCGTCGTGGTTGTGCTGTGCCGCATAGATCGCCACCGCTCGTGTTCGGGGCGCTCCGCGCATTGTTGTCGTAGTCCGGCACGATGTCCGACGTTTCCCTCCGCGTGCCGGGAGCTTCCTCGGCAACCGAATGCATTTCACAAGCCGATGGATCCTGGGTGTGGGTTTCCCGTTGCTCATAATAGCGCGAGATGTTTCCATGGCTGTTGGGACAGGCGTCGTGGGCCAACCGTCGTGGGACACACCGCGAAGAAACTGTCCCCGTGGCCCTTTCAACTTCCGTGCTAATTGTCACCCCACAATCCCTCTGGTTTTTGCGGACCGTCTCGGGGTCGTTTTACGTTCCAGCTCGGTTCGCCCGCCGCGTGGCGGTCGAGGCGACGGCGCTCGACCTGCCGTTCGCGCGTCGTTGGTGTGCACGGAGTCACCCTCTGAGCTGCCGCGGCAAGATGACCGCCGATACGCGGACGCCATAGGAACTTCCCATGATCATTGCTACCGCGAAGCGGCCGCTGCACGCGATCCCGAGTCTCTCTCCCTCTTCGAGCGGTACTCCTCTTCTCAGCAACGCCAAAAGTGAGGCGTCGCGCAAACGAGAGCGGCTCTAAACCCGACCCTCTCCTTTCACCTTCACGGCCGCGGAGCCCCGACTCTGTCAGGCGGGCGATGCATCACAAGTTTTCACAGCAGGCACCGCTGCCCTTGTCCACGCAATCGCGCAGTAAATCAAAACAACGACCCTGTTGCGAAACCGTCCCCGGCCGTTATATTTACTGGGACCGCACGAGGTAATTGTGGGGGCGGGTGGGCGAGGAGTGGCCTCGCTTAACGAGAGCAGCAGACGACAGCCCGCCGTCCCCTGCGAGCGCGCCCGCCCGCCCGCTCGCCCGCCCTCCGCGGCCCTCTCGCCGTAACCCGATCGCGGCACGTCCAATTACTCCGATGTGTGCGGGGCGACGCGCGACGAGGTGGCCTGGGCTGTGAGCGCAGCGCTTCCACGCCACCGCCGTCCCCAGCGGGCGTCCGCGCACGGCCCACTGGCGTGGCTGCCGTGTCGGTTCTCGTGCGGGCGCGCGCGTTTGAGCGTGCCTGCGTGTGTGTGCGTGTGCGTTTGCAATGGTCAGCCTCAACAGTCCAAAGCAAAGGTCATCGTTTGTGAGAGGAGCGACTAGCAGCGCTCGTTTGCACGGGGGATGCGGTGCCACTTGCCCGGAAGATGGCTGCGAGAACCGGCTGTCATCCTGCCCGCAAGTGAGGGTTATGAAATCGGACGCGCGTCACAGACAATTAATTTCGCGAGTGTTCGGTTGTTTGCGCAAAGCGGAATTTGGTCTCGGTTGGTGATGCTTTTTTTTGGGGGGGGGGGGAAGAAATTGGCGCTGTCACATTCGGGCTCCCATTGCATGCTGGGAGTTTGTGAAGCGGGAGGGGATGGTGATGGCAGCAGCGTCTGGGCAGAGGCCTCCCGTGATGTTCAGTGAACCGCACGGTCGTTGTTTCGTGTCTGCGCCGTGCAGCATTGCACTTCACGGATGAGTGTTTATTTTTATTTTATTTTTTATTCATCCCGGTTGACGAACACAGGCCCCAAATGTCAAGCGTCCAACAACAGGACGGCGCAATTGAAGCTGAAAAAAGATGAGAGCTAATCATCCGCTTCTTGAATTGAACGAGGTTATTATGCACTCTTAAATCTAAATTGTAAACTCACCTCTGATTAGCACGTTTGGCTACGAATGGTGCGAAATAATTTCATAGTATACTTAAGAACCTGGCAAAAGAGACGATGATGGGACGAGGGAATTCCCACGGGTAGTAGTGCAGGGAACAAGCAGAGATATTTGTTGTGACCTGCAGTGTGGTGAGTGGGTGTGTGCTGTACAAACTCGGCAACCCGAGTTCAAATCCCGCTCACGGCCAACACAAGTGACGATTATTTGAACTGGTCTTGGGCCTCCCCTAGGTCGACTCGGCCTCAAACGAGTACCTGATGCGGTGTGTAAGCATCTTCACTCGGAAGATAAAGGCGGCCGGGCGTGATGCTGGCCACCCATCCCCTCGTGTGCCGTGCCAGCCTTCGTAGGTGCTCGCTAACAGCACTTGCCCCAACAGTCTGTCAAGGCTATATGGGGGATCTTTGTCGTTGTTGTGTATGTGTGTGAGTGGTTGAGTGAATGTGTTGTTGTGTCCCGAAGTGTTGGTGGTGGTTGAGCACAGTCGAGAAGGGACAGTTTGTGGTTGAGGTGGTGCGTTGGGAGCGCAGCTCGCGATGACTCCCGCCTTGTACTCTCGCCGTGCTGAGCCACGCACGCATGCACGCACACACGCCATCGCACGTGAATTGCGGCGCCTCATTGCCCGCGACCGTACCGATGCACGGAACTTTGGGGACGGCATCGGCGGGAATGGGCCAGTCAAAATGTGACGGTGGCTTTTTTCTTTCCCCCTCCATCCCCCGGAGAGAAGAGCGATCCGCCCGCAGTGCTTGCTCTGTACTCTGGACGGTTTCTTTCACGAGACGGTAGCGGCGGTCAAGCCGTCATCGATCTGCGCGAGTAGCGCACATTCTCCCCGTGCCCTCCCGTGAAGTTGCAACAACGGTGCAGGGTTCTTCACTCGCCGCCCCCGTCCACGGGGCCGTGCAGGTGGGCACACGCCCGCGGTTCGTCAAGTCGGCAGGTCGCCCGCGAAGGGGTTAAGTGCGGGGTACTCCTGTTTCTTTTATTTTCTAAGACGCCTGCCCAGATTTTGAAACGTTTGCCCGAAAGTACTCTCTCGGGGACTCTCTCTCGAGCTCTCTCGAGTGCAGAGGGCCCTTCTGTCAGCAGTGGCACGAGCGACACATTTCAGGGCTCCACCTTTACAGTTTGTTCTCCACCACGGTGCTCGTATACAAACAACACTGTGACGTTAATGTTGTACAAAGAGCCCTTTTATTTTCATGTTACTAGGTAATTCTGCAGTTGAGATGATCACAAAAGTCTGCGTGGTTAACACAAGTCGGGTCAAAGTGATGTCCTGCTTAAATGAGGATTGAGGCATTGGTGCTCATATCCTTTTTTACAGCCCTGAGCCAGCGGTGGAAATTCCACATTCCTAAGGCGGGGGTGAGTTTATTCATAGGTCAAATCCCTACAAAGTGTTGCTAATTTTTTCGAACCCTAAGAGATGATGAGTTCCCTCGTCCCTTCCACGATGTGAACTCGCGGCCTTCTGATTGCCCCTGGGCCACGTGGTCAGGCTAATAGGAGGAGCGATGCAAGGCCTGAGCTGGAGCATTTTCATTCCCTGAAATATAAATACATTAATTTAATATTTTAAAATATATATATGCTTTGCATATTTTCCTTTTTGGGGCAATCACGCCGAGTGTGCCTGATCTCCTTCAAACTCAGAAGCAAAGCAAGTGTGTGATTCTGGTATAGATGTGAGACCGTCTGGGAAAATAGCAGGTGTTATAGGTCTGCGAGGTATTTAGGAGATGGTAGCACAACGATGGCTTCTCAAATCTTTCTGTGCGGATCTTTGAGAGTTATCCCCCTCGCATGCGTGGCCAGATTTCCCCGACTTTTCCGGGTTTTTCCCACGTGAAACCACCAAACTCTCATCAACGACATTTGCCAAACTACCCAATGTGGCAGGACCCTCCTGAAAAGCAATCCCTGGTACTCGCCGAGGCTTTTATTATTACTATTATTATAATTGCTACTCTTGTTGCTTTTTTTTTTTTTAAACGGGGATTTTTTTGTTGTTGTTGCGCGTGGCTCCTACGCGTTCGCTCTGCCTTATCTGTGCAGCAGGCGAAAGCCCTCGCATCCCACGCCGAGCTGGGAAACTAGCGGTCGCGGTGACGGCGGTGACGGCGGTGACGGCGGTGACCGCGGTGCGACTCGATGGCCCTTTGCCGCCTGCGTCACTCGCCGCCGTGCGTGTGTTGCAGACGCCACGCACGCGCCTCTCCCGCGTTTCGCCAGCTTTTGCCGATTGCGTGGGGGTAACCGCCGCCCCGGCTTTTGTTTGCGTTCGCGGCGGTGCCGTAATCAGAGCGGGCGCCGCGGTGCGCCGCGCTGCTGCGGTTGATTCACGACGCCGTCGCATCGCCGCCACCGCCGCTGCTCTCCGGCCCCCCCGGGCGGAACCGCGGCGACGCGCCCGCGTGCCGAGAACGTCGCGTCAGTGCCGGCGCATTGTCTCGATAATGGCACCGGCGCGTCGATATCGCGTCTGTGGTTTAAGTGACGCTGCGCATCACGCTGCACTCCGCCGTTCGTAATGTCGACCGCGCGCACAGGATACAGGACACAGGACACAGGATACACGCGCGTGCACGCTGCCGCATCGACTACGCGAGCGCAAGATCCTTTCGAGAAAGGAATGAAAACCTATCGGCGGAGCGCTACGCAATATTAAAAAACACCCGGAGCCGTCGCCGACGAACGGTTTCACGCAGGAGCCCGATTCTGCGAAGGTGCCGGGCGACGATTCGGAGCGGGCGTTGTAACATTAATGCCGCCGAGCGGAAGATCGGCAGGGCCGTACGTTACGTCGCCATGGCGCTACTCCTCCGCGCCGGGGACTGTCATCGGAAGAGTAGAGAAGCCTCCGACTCGGCACTCACTCGGTGACTTTCCGTCGTCGAGCGCCGCGCCCCGCCGTCGTGAGGCTCCGGAGCGAGGAGCCGCGGGTCGGGGCCCTGCGCGAGTCGTGGCCAAGGGCAGGGGTTGGTAGAACCCCCCCCCCCCCCCCCCCCCCCCCCCCGATTTGTCTGGCTGCCTCTCCCTCTCTTCCTTCCCTCCCGGGTCCCACCCCTCGAGACGCTCGCGGCGCTCGACCAATCCGCGGCAAGACCGACGCGCGCGCGATGCAGATGCGCACGTGCAAGCGCAGGCACGCACGTGCGGGCGGGCACCCGCAAATGTTACCGCCGGGAAACCGGCGGAGCTATTAATAACCGGCACGACGGCCTAATCCGGACGCCGTGCCGCCGCCGCGCGCGTGTGTGTGTGTCGGTGTGTGTGTGTGTGTCGGTGTGTGTGTGTGTGTCGGTGCGTGTGTGTGTGTCGGTGCGTGTGTGTGTGTCGGTGTGCGTGTGTGTGTGTCGGTGTGTGTGTGTGTCGGTGTGTGTGTGTGTGTCGGTGTGCGTGTGTGTCGGTGCGTCGGTGTGTGTGTGTCGGTGTGTGTGTGTGTGTCGGTGTGTGTGTGTGTCGGTGTGTGTGTGTGTCGGTGTGTGCGTGTGTGTCGGTGTGTGTCGGTGTTGTTCATCGGCGCGTTAGCGATAAAGCGACGGAACGTTTTTTTCCACGAGGTGAGAGCGAGCCGCTCGGCCGGGCTCGGCGCGCGCGATTTTGCGAGGACGTTAAAAAGCGGTGGGCCACGTTATTACGGAATCACCTCCCCGGTCTCTCGACTGCCCTAACAGGAACGGATGGTGCGCGGCTCCCTCCACGTAGAGGGCCGTTCAATCATACCGCGGAGTGAAGCGCTTTGCAGCCTTCCATTAGGGGAGGCGGCCGGGGGGGGGGGGGGGGTAATGATTATTTGCGACCGTCGCCCCGCGACACTTGTCGAAGCGGTGCCCGCTCTCGCGCCACGTGCGCCCGCTGCTAACGCACGAGCCGTCCTCGCTGCCAGCCGGCGTGCTGACGATGGCGGCTCCTCCTGCGCGTGTTTGCGTGTTGGCTGGGTGAGGCCGTTCACCTACCGCGTGTTGGTTGGCCTCGTTCCGACGGCCGCCCGCCGCTTCTGCTGGGATTTTGCCGACGCCGTGCGGGGAGGACGTGGGGAGCTCGTCGCGACGATCGCTGCCAAAAGCCGGCGTCTGCGCGTGGCACGTACGGCGTCGCGCTGCGCCCGCCCCGGCGATGCCCGCGCAGCCCAGCCGTTCCGGCGTCTTTTTTTTTGTCTTCCTTGGTATCGGTCGTCTCGTTCCGCCTCTTCCTTCATGCCGCCGCGCGGTGCCCGCGAGGAGCCGGGGGGGGGGGGCGGGGGCGGGGGCCGGGGGGCGGGGGCCGGTGGCACGACGACGCGCGCAGGAGACGGCGGCGGCGGCGGCGGCGGCGGCACAGAATCCTCCGGCGCAACGTCGGAGCAAGCGGAGTGGCGTGCGTCGTTCCGCAGCGCCCGCTGGCTGCAGCCATCCCTTTGTGTCTGCGTGTGCGTGTGCGCGCACGCACGCAGCGAGCGAGCGAGCCAGCGCGCGAGAGGGAGAGAGAGGGGGAGAGGGAGCGCGAGGGAGAGAATTGTGGTGGTTTGAGCGGCGACGCGGGAAGGCGTCTGAACGGCCGGCGGTGACCCCCCCGCTTCACGTCAGCTGACACGGCGGCTGGCGCGAACCGCCGCACGCGCGGCCCCAAGGAACGCGTGCGCACGCGCGTGCCAGGGAAGTAGGTTGTCTTATGCGGGCACCGAAAAGTATGCGCATGCGCCGTCGGTGCCAGCGGGCGCAGGTTTGCGCATTCTGGTGGTCGCGTGCGGCGGTGCCTGCTTCGTCAGCGGGGGCGGGCGGGCGGGCACGCGCGGTGTGCCCAGTGACTCGGTGCCCGTGCGTGCGTTTGCGCGTGCCGGGCCATCGCGCGGAGGCGACGCTCGCTCGCTTGGAGATTCGCGGAGGCGAATTCATCGCTCTGCCCGCCCACGGCTACCGTCCCGGAGCGAAGACGGACGCGGGGTACTTGCGCCCGAGCCGCACGCTCCAGCACGCCCAGGCGAATGTTCGTGAGAGATGAAACATTTAAAAATGTAATTGCACTCGTCCACAAATTTGTCTTTTTTTTGTTGTTCAGTTCGCAAAACTGTCAGATTTATTGCACGAATTTTTTTGTTTGTTGTTCATGAATTGATTTCGATTTTAAATGAGTTCCGTGAAATTGCAACAGACAAACGAGCGTATCGATAAAAAAAATATATATATGTCCACGTCACATTGTTTGAAATTACTCAAATATAATGTGTATTACACCACAGTGCTCCGTCGCCTGCGTCATGATGTACATTGCGTCCAGCATATGAGCTTGTCCTACTTATATTCAAACATATCGCCTGTTTTTAGCAATGATTAATTAACGTGCGTTTCGTCCGCATTGCCTTGCGCAAACTAAGACGGATGCTCCCGATGGCTCTGCCGCCGGTCGCTCATACGCTCAATCGCGGCGGCTTCACGGCAATCCCGGAGCCCACAGTTTCATCGATCGCCGGACGTGGCGGAGGGAGGAGAGGCCATTCGTCGGAGGGAAGGAGGAATGGCCTCCCGTCTTCCTTGGATCGTCCCAGGCCTCCCACACCGAGCTAATTGATCCCTAATTTGCACGTTCCTGATTGGGTGGGCATTGACCGTCGGGATGCTCCGGTTGGGGGCGGGCGGCACCGGGAGCTGACCCCTGCCTGACCCGATTGAGTTGCGCGTCGATGGGCCGCGGCACGCCGATACCGAGCTGCCAAATAATAGCGGAGGAATCCAAATAAGGAACTGGTCCCCCCGACTGCATTACGCCCGGAGTGCTTCGTATCGAACGCCACCTGAAGCTTAACGAGCGCCACAGCCGCGTGGCATATTTCTCGTTTGGTCGAACGTGGCCGCCCGATATCCTTTAACGGCAATTCCGGCGAGGTGGCCCACGTGTGCCGTGAATGCGATCAATGCGAGATGTAAGTACGTGTGTATGTGTGTTGAACTTCTTTCGCACCGTACGTAGCCAACTGCGCTTATCGAAGGTGCGGGGGAAGGACAATAAACTCAACACCAAAAGCAGTTCTCAAGAAATTCGTATTTCAGTCTAGATTGAAAAGTGCATAGCTCCAGTGGCTTCCTAATATTGGAAAGGAGAGCGTTCCGTGCGGCCGTGCGATGCAGTGACCGTCTTCGTTCGATGGCTAGCCAAAAGCGTGATGGTTTATGTTGCTTGGCGAGATCAGCAAGGTATTGTGGTTAATTTGTGGCCAAAAAAAAAAATGAACCACAGTGCCAGAGTAATAGGCGGGCTTCGCTGGTGTGCCGCTTACATTAATAGCGGATCCGCGTACGGATCGGCAGGTGTCTTGCGGAGTTAACGGGCGGCTCGTGTTGAATATTGAGATCTTGCCCGTTGGTGGGCCTGTGGTGTGGGGGGGGCGACAGCTCTCGGATGAATGGAGCTCCGAGGAAATCACATCGGATCCTAATGACACCCGTACAAAACACAACAAGATTTACATCATGAATTGCATTTCATGAATACAAATCTAATTTTGCGTCCGGAAGATGTACGAACCAGGGACCTAAGTTGTAATTTCTCCGATAGTATTATGTGTTTTTACACATATATATAATGTATGTCAAGGCTAATGTACCTGTCAGGTTCCCCATGTTTAATTCACGTTAAATATAAAATGTGTTTTACTTTAAACACCGACCGCCCCATGAAGCCTCGAAGCCAACACAGTCACGTGATGCATTGCATTGATTACATCAAACAACCCTCACAAAATCGGTGAACTCAAAAAGAGGTATTCTAATACCTGTATATACGTACTCTCTATGTTTTCTAATCAAAAACCTCTCAACTGGAAGGCTGCAATGGGAGCACGTGAGTCCCTAATCTTGTTTAGTGCCCTCACTGCTGATTAACTCAAATGTTGCTGCACTCGCGGAAGGCTTGGTCACAGCTACGTGTTTTCTTCCGTTAGGGTAAAGGCACAGCCCCTGCAATTGTTTCCTCGTGTCACTGCTGCCGTAAGGGTCTCCACTAAACAGAGGTTTAGAGAGCCCCCTTATACATCGGCCAGATGTCTTGGGATGGGATTACGTTATAATATCAAACTCGCCGGTATGCAAAGCTGAAGTTCAGCAGAAGTTATTTGGTTGCTTTGTATGCGCAGAAATCTCTTTCAGTCCCACTGAACCCACTGTGTCTACTGAACTCACGCCCCGTTCCTATCTCCCACATTCTCCCCACACTTCTCCCAAAACTACGGACTGGATATCAAAACCTCGGGCGACGCAGTAAATGATTGCTGTTCCCCTACGCGACACACATCGTCGCCGTCACCGCACACATCGTTCAGGCAAGTTGATTCGCGGCTGCGTTGCCAAGCGAGGTTTCCCAAGCGCGCCGAGTCTCAGCGCGTGCAGAAGGATCGCGTGGCGGCGCGTCGAGCGACTGACCGCGCGCGTCCATTGTCACCGAGCTCTCCGCGTCGCTTTGTCTATCCCCGATCACAGTGATCACAGTTCGCACAAACTGAGGCGTTTTCGACCGGCAAAGCCCGACGGGATGTCCCAGCATTCTTTGCAATGTAAGATGACGGCACCGTCCCCGCATGCGTTTTTGCGCACGGTCTGTCACCTTGGCATGCAGAGCATGCTGGGACTTCTTGTTGTGTGCGTCTGCTGTGTAAAACGCCGCTTTTGCCTTCAGAATTATCGGTTAAATTCTGGCCCATGGTCGATGGGCTTTGCGATGAGCCGCCGAAAGTGCTTGGACTCGGACGCAAACCGAATTGCGTGCCGCGATCGGTATCGCTGAGCGCGACGGTGAAAACGGCAGACGCGGGTGCTCGTTAAAGGTGGGGCTTTGAGGTACGTCTCTCGGTCTCGCTCCTTTTCAAATGTTTTATTCCAGCTCTTCAGGAACAACGGAACCGGCAAAATACAGAAACACGAGGGTGAACTCGCACGTAAGACGCTTTCTGCCGTCCCACCCTCGCCTTGATGTAGGAGCATCGGGGGAGAGCTGAGCTGGAGACAAGAAAAGAGGAGGGGAGAGGACAGGAGGAGAAAAGAGGGTAAGAGCGGGCCCTCCGGCAAGGTGCTCACGATGGAGAATAGAATCAACTGGAGAGGTTCCCTCCGCTCCCTCCGTTCCCTCCGCCACCATCGCCAGGCTACAAGGTCGCCTCCTGCGTTTGCCACCACCGCGCCTCTACGCTCGGCCGCCCACCGCGTCTCTCTCTGCTCTCCGGTCGCCCTGCACCACATCTCACGGCGGAACTCGCAGCAGCAGCAGCAGCAGCCTCACGACTCAAACCCTACTCTTCCTCCTCGTCGCTACACCGAGGCGCAGGAGATCATGGTCACTGCCGGGCGTCGTTTCCCCGTGGCAGCTCCCGCCGTCTGGAACGCGGCCATCGTCATCGGCATCATCGTCGTCATCATCGTCGTCATTGTCGTCATCGGCGTCATCGTTATCATCATCACCGTCATTGTCGTCATCGGCGTCGTCATCGGCGTCACCGTCCCACTGCTGCTGTGCATTTGCAGCAGCGTTCAGTCTGCACTTATTTTAAAGCCACACTTAAAGGCCCCACCCCTTTTTTAAAAGCCCCATCCTCTTTTTTTAAAAGTACCACCTCCTTAAGGCCTCACCTCTTTCCCCTGGCTTTCGAACCACGCTGAGCTTGGGCTCCGCGTCCCAGACACACGGTCATTAATGTCTGTTAAATATAGTGCCGCCTGTTCTAAATTGCATTCTTTATGTGACCGGGGTGTGGGGGGGGGGATGAGACCATGAGACCATGATCTTCACGGAGTCTTGATCGCCAGCGGTCCCAGAGACAGACCCTCCAAGTCTCTCAGGATTTATCTCACAAGGCAGATGGAGGCAGGGCGCCGCGCGTGCTGTGCGCGCGGCGTCTTGAAGCTGTCTGGCCTCTTCCTTTACCGCTGCTTGAACATCTGCAGCGCATTTTGACAAGATCCAGCTCAGATGCTCTTGCCCCAGTGTCTGCGCAATCATTTTTTCCCCCCTTCGTGGTCTTGATCATCTGCGACTTTTTCGATAACGGTGCGCGCGCGTGTCCACGTGTGTGTGCACGTGTGTGTGCGTGTGTGTGCACGTGTGGTCTTGAAGAAATCTGTACGATAGAATTCCGATTCTGTGTTATTGATTTAAAGATAATTTAAATTAATGTATTTAAGTTTGCGCGCTAACCTTTGGCGCAGGAGACGGAAACATGAACACGACCAAATCGGCTCGCAATCGGAAAGACGCGAAGTTCAAATCCCAGCTGGGAGTTGACTCGGCCCATCATGCCATCTCGGTCGATAAAGTGATTACCACGTTGGGGGGGAAATCAACAGCGGTTGTTCTATGGATAGGCTCGCCTCCGCTCTAGGAATATGCAATTTCAACCGCTGGCTCAGGGGCTGTGAAGGGAGATGGGCACTGATACATCAGCGCTCACTTGAGCAGGAAATCACTCTGACTTGTTTTGTATCCATCCCACGTGTGTGTGTGTGTGGTGCATGTGGGGAGCGGTGCTGGAGTGGTTTTCCTTCTGCGCCACAATACCGGTTGCCTGAGTTCGACTCCCAGCCAAAGATAACGTCAGGAGCAAGTGCTGACTCATAACCTGTTATGGGCATCCTCCAAGTCAACTCAGCCTTAAAATATTAATACCCAGTGCCGTGCGACAACGGAGTCAGAGGAAATATGGAACGTCTTGAGCCTGGACTTGAACAGGGGCTGGGAGTCGACAGCACGGTCGGCTGGGGGGCGGGGGTTGAGAGTTCCAGACATTGGGGGCATCGGAGGAGAACCCCCCCCCCCCCAACAAAATCGAGGCTCCCTTAATGGACTGGCCTGCCAGCTTGCTTACTTCCCTTTTCCAGTGGGGTAACCACATTGAGCTGTGTGCCGCTGATTTAAAAGCGTGCGTGCGCCGTGCCCTTATCTCCCAGACAGGTGGAGTTTATCGCCTGTAAATGAACTGCAGAGCCACAGGAAGGTTGTCCGAGAGGCGCCGCTGCTGCGGTGGCGGTAACGAGCGAAATGGAATGCAGTGGCCGGGGGGGGGGGTCCTCCACCCCCCACGGGGTTTTTTTTTTATTCCCTCCAGGATCATCGTCGTCTTGTTGACGAGGCAGAGCCGCTGTCCTGGGGAAAGCCTCGCGTCTTCCCCGGGGGGGGGGGGGGGGGATGTTAAATGTCCGAGTTTGTGCATTCACCTTTATGTAGTTTCTCCCCTCTCCTCGTATTGTGGCAGACCTAGAAACTAAAACTTAAATGTTTTATTTTACCAGGTAAGGCCCACTAAGCTATGTAGCTCTTTTTCAGGAGCGACCTGGCCATCACAAATGATAGCCCAACCGAGTGGCTTCTCATCATGTGGAAATTTACAGCGTCCCAAAGACTTCGAAACGCGCGACGTTCGATTCTGAAAGTAGGGGCCGACTCGGTGCTGGGAGACGCAGCGATTGGCAGAGCGATGGACCCCGGCGGAGAGCACCGATCCTGGCACGGGGAGCTCTCCCACCTGCGGTGGTGGCGGTGGTGCCCGGCCTCAAGAAGGCGAAGCAAGTAACAGCATGGGCTCCCAGCTTCATACACTAACATGAGGGTGAGCCATTTATCAACTCGAGCTCGCAGCCTTTTACATTCATATAAAAAAGCATAATTCTAATTGCGGCGATGACGTCATTGTAATTGGTGCATCCGCTTATTGTTTCACGCAACTGTGATGTGATGTGGCGTGTCCGGCGTGTAACGTGCGTGGCCACACGCAGGAATGACTTCTGCTCCGGGCCCCCTCGCTGAGCTCGCGGCCGCTCTGCCACCGCCGCGTGCCAAGCCCGGTGACGAGCCACGGCAGTGATTATTGTTAATGCTGTCATAGAGCTCATTAATGTTACGATATGTGTATGTAATTATGCACTGTTGTGGGCCATTACGGGTAGTTAGATAAACAACCGCACACTTCTGTTGTACACTAATAGCTCGTGGGTTGTTGTGCGTGGATGTTAACCGGCGGCGTCCGATTCAGCAGGCGAAACCTGGAGCCGCTTCACCCTGCTGGGTCTCATCAGCTGAGTAAAACTTGATAGGCAAATCTACGCCTGGGTTGCCAGATATGATTGGCAGTAGTCCTTCAGATATTGCTGTTTGCAGATCAATCAGACCCTAGGACTCTTTATCCAAGAGCCATGCAAAGTCAATAACAGAAGCGCTTCTATGTGTGATCGTGATATGAGATTTATTAACGGTTGTCCGGTTCGGTGGTGATGTGCCAAGACTGACTCAGTGTTAAGGCCATAAGTTCAAATCCCCGCGAGGGCTCGATCAATCTAATCATCCCTCTGGGCCAGTGCCATGGGCACCAATTGGCAGAACGTCATCAGCGGTTGTCCTGTGGAGAGACTGAAGCTTGCCGTAGGAAGGTGGAATTTCCATCACCGAATGAGGGCCATCAGTGGAAACGAGTATTGCCCAACAGTCACGTGGCTCTGACTCGACAGAGTTATCCTTGTGCCTAACACATTCGTGTGATTTTTATTTTTATTTTTAAATGATTATCCTCCGTTTTGTAGATTAGAATCATGGCACGTGTCATGAGTTTTCCGCACGGTGACATCGCAACATCCAAGCAGCTCCGGGCAAGGAGAGATCCGAGCGACGCCCCTCCGGCTGGAGCGACGTCGCCTCCGTACATCTCCTTGGCGACATCTCTCCTTGGACAGAAGGGTCGAGACATTCGGTGTGAATCACGATCGCTGCAACGAACGTGTTCGGCTGGGTGCGTCACACCGCGCGGTGCAATCGTCCCATGCTGTAACTCCGTAATATTTAAACAAGTGTTTAATATTAATTGCGAAAGAGGGAGAAATTGTTTACTCGGGCCGTGTGAAATCAATGATGCCTCGGTTTGTACCCACAAGCCAGAGACGACGTGATAAATATCATATTGGCTTTCCTAATGACCTGCCATTCCTCATAACGCATGCCTAATTATGAGTTATTGGCTTATAAACACAGTCATATTTAATGCAAAACCACACAATTAAGATATCCCGTGTCATTAAACCGTTAAAAACATGAAGAAAATCATTAAAATAACTATTTAAACGCTTGAGATGCTGCAATTCACTCCGATTCCATTGTACTCTGTGATTAATCAGCAATCCGAGGTCAAGTGTGCGTGCGTGCGTGGATCAGAAACGGAGGGTGGATGTTTCAGATGCCTCTACAGAATAATTATGTCTACATTGACATCCTTTCACAGTTGTTAAGTTGCTAAACTGAATGAAAGCGATATTACATCCCCTAAAATCTCTATTATACATCCCGATATTTACAGCCCATTAATATTTCAGACACGTATCCTTCAAGATCTGACCTGGCATCTACTGGACATCTGTGTAAAGGAGCTGTATAGCTCATCGAATTCTTCCAGTCTAAATACAGATTGTCATTTTGAGTCCCATCATCTGGTCTTAGGTCTCCTCCTGGGGTCTCGGGACTCGTGGAGACCACTCCAATGTCCGTCTCGGCAACTGGCCCTCGTCCGTGCCGCCACATGCGACGTTGCACCCAGTGCAGCCGTTTATCCCGAATTGTACCCGCAACATTCGCCTGACTTCCGCATTGCTTATCCTGCCTTGCCACGAATCTCATAGCATCGCCCGCCTTCAAGTGCCAACAATTTTCCTTTCGAACTGCGCGGTTAGATTCCAACCCTTTGCTTCATACGGAACATGTGTGCACCAGAGGGGAGACTGAGCAACCTGGGCCCACCTGAATTGTGTTTCCCAGGAAGGCAGGCATGGGTGGGGGCGTTTGTTTGTGGGTGGGTAGGTGGGTGGGTTGGTGGGTGGGTTTGTGGGTCGGTGGGTGGGTAGGTTTGTGGGTGGGTGGGCAAGTGAGGACATTCTGTGGGAAAATTACCGGCGACGCGCAGAGTGATGAGCGTCTCGTTAGCGCGCATCACGGAGTGCGATCAAACACTTTGGCGGAGCGTGCGTCGTCATCCTCGTCATGGTCGTCATAGTCGTCATCGTTGTCATCGTTGTCGTCATAATCGTCGTCGTCATAATCGTCATCGTTGTCGTCATCGTTGTCGTCGTTATCGTCGTCATCATCGTCGGCAGCGGTGCGTGTGGGAGCCGGGCGAGCGCCGGCGGCTCGTTCTGCCTCGCACAGACGCGCGGGCGCCGGCCCCCAGGAGCCCCCTCCCCCCATCAAATATTAATTAGAGCACGGGCCCCTCATGCGTATAACGAGCCCTAATTGCGACTCATTTGCATACGCAGGTAATCCGGCGATGGTCATTGCTCGGCCCATTCATCACAGCGACGCGGCCGACACGTGGAGGTTAGCGGCGCGTCCGGGCTTAACTCTTTGCCTCCCTTCCGAAAGAAAATCCCGCGTCAAATCCCAGCGGCGAGCACCGCGGGCGTGGATAGCGCTCCCTGAGGAGTTAAGAACCGGGTGGAGAGCCCCCCCCCCCCCCCCCGAGACCAGAAGCCTCTCTCTGTTTTAGTTTTTTTGTTTTCCCCCAGCGAGAACGAGGCCGCAGAGCGTGCGACCGTGACCGGCCAGGCAGCTTCTCGTGAACAGAATCGGAGCTTTTATCCGTGGCTCTGCGTCGCGGGGCACTGTGTGTCTCGGGTTCAAACACGGCTCGTTTGACCCAGGTGCCTACTCATTTTGATATACTTTGCAAAGGATGTCCGGCTGATAATATGCACATAATCACAGTTGTCTACATTATTCTACTTCGTAAATTAGTTACGTGTAGTTTTACAACAGAGAGTCAGGGGTTAAGAAACCGCCACTGGCATCGCCTTCTCTCGTCAATGTCGTCAGGGACGATGGGGGACTATCACGGTCCACTTCACAGAAGCCGACCTGCTTCGGTAACTGCCTCGAGGAATGGTCGGGCGGCCGCAGGCAAAAGATTGAGCAGTCAGCGCGTCAACTGCCTCGACGGCCAGCGTCGCCAAATTAGAAATGAATGCTCCATTTGTCAACTCGAGGCACGAATTAGGCGCCTCTCGCTAATCCCGCTGATGAACCCGCGCGCGTCGCCGCCTCGTTTCAACCGGTGCCGAGTCGCTGGCATCCCTCTCGGAGCGAACTTGGGATCGTGGTCACGGCCAAGCCGGCGTACGCCTCCTCGGGACGTCCCTCTGATGCGCGTCAACGTTTTAGTATGCGAAAGGTTTCATTTCGTCCACGCTCGCCTCGCGTTCTGTTTAAGGCTCGAGTGGCGGGAACGCACGCACACGCGCACGTACACGCACGCACACGCACACGTACACGCACGCGCACGCACACGCACACACACGCACGCACACGCGCACGCATCCAGCATCGGCGTGCAATGCCTAACAACACAGAGCAATATCCATTTGAAATTGTTATCGGCCCCTTGCTCTGCCGAACCAATAACCTGGCACAATGATTGATGTTCGTATTAATGGATTCTGTTTAAGGGGGGGGGGGGGGGGGTTGGGTGGGGGGATGGAAATCACAACGTAAAAAAAATGATGCAATTAATGCCCAGCAGTGGCTACGATGTCAGAACATCTGTTATGCAGTCGGATAATTACATCAATAACTGGTGAGATTATGGGTGAGCTGATAGCGCGTCAAATCAGTCAGTGGCCAGCCCTGCCAGGAGGACGCAGCGCAAGGGGCTGTGACTGCACCACGCGGACGGCAGCACTCAGCCTGGCTCACGGCAGCAGCAGCAGCACAGGGCCCTGGCTCCAAAATAAACACCTCAATCCGCCCCCTCTACAGCGCCCGTCCAATCCCGAGTCGAACACCGAGATAGTTCTCCCTGCCTTCAAACTCCTCCATGGACTTGCCCCTGCCAACTACTCTGTCTTATCTCACTACTCACCTCCACGCACTCTCCTACCTCTCCACTCTCATCTCACTCTACTCTTCATGTGCTCTCAGCTACAGCAAGCAAGAGCTTCTGCCGAAGCCCTCGGTTATCATTGGAGGTCGCTCCTTCTTCTCTGCTGCTCCCACAGTCTGGAATCCCTCATCTCTGGGCACCTACACTGCGGAGGCCCTTCCACTTTCAAGTCCAGACTCGAGACTCTCCGCATCGCTTCTGCCTGTGACTGATGTCTCTCTCTCTCTCTACAAAAGAGTCTTCAATCACATTTCCACCATTAAGTCTCAGTTCCCCGTCTGGCCTGTAAAATTCGATCCCTCGCTCCCTGTCCTAACGTTAAACCCTCTCACCGTGCGCGCGCACTCTCTCCAGATGGGTTCGCATTCTCCCATTCCTGCAACGACTCGAAGTGCGGTCACGTGCCGACGCCGCGTGCACTCAAATGTCAGTCTTATTTGGGTGAGGGCCCATTGGACGTGCTGCGGTTTGCACTTTCCGTCTGCTGTGCTGAAGGAGGGCCGTCGCCTGAAACATCGTTACATACAACGGGCTTTTTTTTTTTTTTTAAACGTACGACGCGATATGAACGTGCTTAACACAAGCGTCGTGACCTTGAGGATTACGATTCGCCCCACTTTTGAGGACGCGATCGCCGCGTCGGCTGATCTCACGTGAGCGAATTGAGTGCGATGGGCGGCACGGCCCAGGGTTGTGCAGGTTGTGTAGTCGTCCTGGAGTGCTCTACGCTTCCTGCTCGCGCAGCCCACTTCCTTACCCTTGCTCAAGCCTATGCTGGGGTTTCTATTTTTTTTTGTACGTGTGTGGCGCATTGGGAAGCGCACTGCGCTACTGAGCTTGGTGACCCTCGTTCGATTCCCGCTCAACGTCCAACACCAGCGCCTCCAGGTCGTTGGCTTGTGTGCAAAATCTGGCGCGTTATAAATGTCATTATTATGATCTGTACCGGTGCTGGGCCTCACCTAGGTCGACTCGGCCTCAAATGAGTACCTGGTGCGGTGTGTAAACATCGCCACTCGGGAGACAAAGGCGGCCGGGCGTGGTTCTGGCCACGCACCCCCTCGTGTGCCGTGCCGGCCTTCACAGGTGCTGCTCTCTAACAGCACTTGCCCCTACAGCCTGTTACAGGCTACACGGGGGATCTTTGTCGCGCGTAACACACATAACGGTAGTTTGCTTTCGCAGCTCCGCGAGGTTTGAAGCGGCTTCATTTTCGGTGAGTCTGGCATCGCACCGAAGCGCCGGAGTGGGGTGCGAAGTTCCCGAGTGGGGGGGGGGGAGGGGCGGTTCGCGGCCGGCGTCGTCTCCGCGGGGCTGTCGAGACGGCAGCTGTGGAGAACGCACGCCAGCAAACGAGAATACCGATCACGCGCATTGTGCATCTCTCGCTATTCATTATTTTTACTTCATTCGTTAATCGGACACCGCTGGCAGCGGTAGAGATAAGGTCCCGTAATGAATTAGAGTTAAACTATTGGGGGGGGGGAGGGGGGGGGTGAGGGACGACATTAGCGGGCCAATGATGCGAGCGAAAAAAATCTCGTCGAGTCACAGAGTCGGGATGCGCGCTGTGGGCACGCCTCGCCCGTTTCCCCAGCGGGCAGAGCGAGAGCATGGCGGTGCCACATTGGATCTACTCCCAGCAGTTACAGCCCCTTCGTCAATCACTGCTGCTGGACGACGGCCTGCCCACTCCGTGTCAGTCATACTTCAATCACGCTGCTCCATGCGGACTCATGAGGGGGGTGGCCATGACCGCATCAGACATCGCTCGCCACTGATGGGTGACTACGGCTGGGAGGCGAACTGGGATCAGTGATTTCAGAGGGCAGTCCTCTCATCAATTGCACCGCTCCTACCCCCACCCCCAATAAACAGTCATCAGTAAGAGAGTACATTTTGCCTATTGCTGCTGATGGAAATATAATTTCGCGCATTTCACGAAACACTGGATGGAGAGGATGATTCACCAAGATGAGAATCCATCGTAAGTGTATGTATGGACAACTTACAAAATACATCTTTTACGTTGGACAATCCCCAAAAACATTTAACAATATATTTTTTTGTTCTCCCAAGTACGTTTGGGCAATAAAAAGAGATGACATCGGCCATTCGTTCTCATTGTGTTGCAGTCCGGTTGGCGCCATCGGCTGCAAACTTAGAGGAGCCGCGCGCTGCCATCTGGAAATACGCACAACCCCAATCCCACGGCGCG